ACTAGAAGTTTTCGATTATGGGTGTTTACGTAGTTTAGCCCACGTTGGATGAAGCGAACGGGTTAGTAACGTGGAGGTAAACCGTCGTGTTTGGTAGTCTATCAGGTATAAACCTGCTAGCATACCGAATTCAGATTACTAGGCTTCGGTGGCCAGGGCACGTATTGCGTATGCCCAGTCATCGTCTGCCGCACCGCGCTTTATTCGCTGTAGCTAATCCGAGCTGGAGGAAACCACGTGGAGGTCAACAGATGACGTGGAGACGAGGCATGAAGAAATGCACAGAGCCATTAGGTGGATTAGGTGTCTCTCGCCTTCCAGGTTGGGGTCCAAGAGACTCCACAACTGGTTGGTTGGAGACATTGAAGGAAACAGCAGCGAACTGACATCAGTGTTCTTGTTTTATTTGTTATCAGGCCAGAACGCTTGAAAGGGTATGTATGCAGAGTTCGATTGCGTACTATTTGCGTTGACCATAGTGGCTGATGTTTTTCTGCTACCCTCAAAATAGATCCAATCTCTGTCCACCTTAATTTTTACCACTAACCTTGTATGCATTGTGAGTTTGGCAGCGATTAGTGAAGTTCGCTGCACTGTATCTCGCTGTACGATTATGACCATGATGACTCAACAATAGCTGTTCTGGTTTTCACGCACGTTGGTGGTTTCCAGTGGTAACGGAGTTCACTTTGCATCGATCGAGTTAGAAAACGGTCAAAAAGACTCTGAGTTAATTTAATAAGGAGTGTTGTTGAACGGAAATTATCGCCACCTGCCGAATCGAGTTTCCGACAACAATGAAACTTGCGTCAATAATGGGCTGTGTAAAGGGATCCTCAAAACAGGATAGCTGTGTGCGCACGCATCAACGCTAGATCGACTGAATGTAAAATAAAGGCAGTGGCCTAGCGGTTCCAGACTGCTCTTCGGATTTTTTGATACTGAGTATAGGGGATCCTACTTAGTGTTGAACAGGCGAGCGATTCTGGTGCCTCAATTGAATCGTCCGAAGCAGTTCTGAGATTTGTGCGAAAACACTGCGAAGGCTAGTGAGAACCGGTCACTTCCATCTTGCAAAGCAAAACAATCGTACATGAACAGCGGCCAACCAAGTTGAAACAGGAGAAACCATGCCTGTCAATTGAGGAGAAGTCCATGATATTTGAACACACTCATAACTCTGCGTTGATTGGGAGTTGCAAAAAGAAAATTCTTCTGATCCAACCGAAGTCTTGTGTATGGGAGACAGGCCACGTCGTTAGGAGTTATACAATTGGATCGAAAATGGGCTCCTTTTGGGTCTAACATTGAACAATGACATTTTTTACTCAGATGATTCAACGTCCTTGTCGTTTTACGCATAGGGTTTATAACATAATTTGTGCGGGCACTGGAGGAACATTTTCCTCCAGCGTGTATGTCATGGGAAAGATCGGAGGAAATCTATGGAGTGATGCGCAACCCGAGGCTACAGGCTAGTCGGCTGAGTGTTTTGGCAATTGTTGGAAAATGTTACAAATCCAACGTCCAAAGCCGTACAAAGTGTTCAGTTTTGTTAGATGCAAAACGATTAAGGGCGGAGAGGGACTGGAGCTCGGGTTGTGGAATCCTCAAAAAAATTCACCTGCCCTGGCCTGCACAAACTATCTATCTATCTATCTATCTATCTATCTATCTGTGTTCACATACCACAGCAGTGCATTCATTTGAATATGAGAAAATTAATGACTATTCTGATAAGTAGACTGGTACATATTAAATCTAAACACGTTCGCGAAGATACCTTTAATCACTTGTACTCTGACATCCTTGTATGTGTAATACGGTGAGTGTATGGTTTAGTATTACGGTTAGTTCTACAATCTGTGGGAACAACATAGTTGTTCAGTCTTTGGCTCAGGTTTAAACAAATGGTAGAAGGCTGATGAGAATATTAAAAGAACCAATAATCACAAACTCCAACTGCAATTTCTTTCTACAGTTGCCATTCGGAGGTGAAGATTGCAGTGTGATCTTCGTACACCGACTCAACTGAATTGTTTCAGCAGACTTNGCAGACTTACAACGCTGCTAAGTTGATCCTACTCTAAACGCGCCAACAGAAACCTCTCCCCTGGTCAAGCTGACATATCCAGCTCTCGGTAAATCAAACCTTTACCTTCCGTTTGAGTGCACTGAAAGAGATTGCACAAACCAGGTTATTGTTCCCTCTACGCATCCAGGACCCTCGAGCAAACCCCGACACGTTCTCCCGGTGGCGGCTGATCCTAATCCACTTCAAATTCAAACCGCGAAACTTCTATACTTGAACGGATAGGCTTTCCCCGACAGAATGATACCATGCGTAGAGGATAGCAGTTTGATTCCTTAACATCTCTTATTGTGTATGGCCTATCCCCATCACACAGCGTTTTAATACTGGATATGCATAGAACAATAAGTTTTGTTTAGACCAATCATTTGTTTTCAAATTCGACTCAGTCCTCACCCATATGGCGACTTTGGGATCTGGTGTAAATACCAGCCCAAAATTTAATATAATAAAAAAGTACATTGCAGATAGACAGTCGCTGTTAGGTTTTATCATTTTAGTTGATCTACTAAAGCTACTCGTATCTTAAGTTTGCCGGTTCGGTTTGACCGAACCGTGTTGTTCCTGCGCAGAGAGTTAGGCTATACGGAAAGGAATGTTCCACGGGATTTAAAGGACGAAAACGTCACGTGATAGTGATGAAGGATTTAATTGTTTTAAGGTGAAATTCGTCGTGTAAAGAGCAAACGAGGCGTGAACTGAAAGACTGGGAAGTACTGGAAAGCTGTTTCGAAGTGGTTGTCTCATACGCAGTGCTAATCTATCGACCCAAATAACGATCGAACTGGGCACTGCAAAGGTAGAACGAACGCTGAACACCCAAGAGCTGTTCAGACCGTTTCTTATTTTACCCATACATGATAAAGCGCAACCCAGATTTTCAAGCTTGTTTTCGCTCATCTCAGTATTGGCCTCCAGGGTTATGAATCAGTTGAAAACATTCTGCTCCTGACTGCTTGTTACGTGAGAGTGGGTGAGGATTTTATTTGATTATTCGGTGAATTCTGTCGTGTACAGAGCAAATGAAACATGAAATGAAAAGCTAGGATTGATTGGACAGCTGTTCTGACCTGGATGGTGTTTTCTGCCGCCTAACGGTCAATTGGGTAGCATGTTTGCGTTCTACTTGTGAGGTCCCAGGTTAGATCCTCATTTGGTTCATTGGATTTGCACTATTGGTTATACCCAACCAAGTCAAAATAGCTGTCCAGTGAGTGCATCTCAGCTTTTCAGTTCATGTCGCATTTGGTCTGTACATGACGAAATTCACTATATAATATTTTGATGGCTTAGGGGAAAGCATGCGAAGGCAGAAAGTACTAGTAAAATAAAAAAATGGAGCTCGGTATTCTTAAAACTCCCGCATGCCTAGGCAATCGTTCATTGTTTGCCGTAGAAACCCATTAGTGATATGCGTAGCACATGACGCATCCCCTGTAATCTGTGAACGCCAAGCACTTGTTTCTCTGCTTGACCGTGATTGCGTAAATCTCAATCTACAACCTCGAAAAGGGTTGTTCCGCTATCCTATCAGAATAGCACAGTGAATGGGAAAAATCATTCGAGTTGAGAGTGATTTTATTTATTCAGCTAAGTTTACTTACAAATACGAAAACTTAAATTTGGTCCACTGTACTGTTCACATCTTCCATATCCGTTTCGTGTAGATTTCTGGATTTCCCATTCTGTTTGTCTGCTAGATCTGAGGGTGTCGGTGGAACAACGACTGCTCGATACCGAACGGTCAACTCAACCTCGTGTTCATTTGCCTCCATCAGAATATTGCGCACAGTCTGTGCTAGTGTGGTTTCCAATAGACTCTGGAACGTAGGATTACTGGGATAAACAATGGACAAGAAAATTTCTTCAGGATAATACAGTGTGCACTTTTAGAGTGTAACAACAGAAAATATCACACATTTAAAAGTTTCATTCTGTCGCGGTCGTTTGATCACATTCCTGTGCAGCATTCATTTATTGGTGATCAGTTAAACACCAATTATAAAATGGAGTTTTCGTCTGATAATCATTCGATTTTCTCCTAAATCCTTGGGCTAGTATGGGGAGCAGCTTAGTGGAAATAAACGCACTGATGAACTCGTATTGGTTTGCATAATGCATATTGCCCCGTTTGGTTGATAGCAAAGAAATGAACAATGGAACACTGACCCATTAAAGGAACTAAAGATACCATATTCCTGAGTCCAGATTGCGCTAAACAAATCGTGATACAGACATCTCAAAACAAATAAATGTGTCTATGAGCAGTACACTGCCAGGTTCTTCAGACCAACGCAAATGACTCTTTGAATGATGAACATACGAGGTGGGCCGAAGTTGAGTTGCGTACAACAGAATGGTTATACTGAAGTATGCTTGTGGTCCGATAGGAGCCAGCAATAACTCATCACTTATCTACTCATTTATATAGATTACAATCAAAGATGGCTGAAAGTTCGTCATCCGGCCGAACTGAGGTCGATTGATCATAAGGTCCTTGACGTGGTGAAACGAATTAGAACATTCGGCATTTAAACAAGTGCTTGCTTGTGAGTAGTCGTGCAATAATTATTAGTCTGCTTCCAACTCTATTCCACACACACAATCCTTCATTCACCTAGTGCTTCCATATCCTGTGCTAGATAAGGTNCGCCACGCATACAATTGGAGTCTGAATATATGGTCAAAAACAAAAGGATTAAATCAAGTTAAAGTTATTAACACCTGACGCTAATAGGGAAAATAGCAAAAGTACTGGATTAACAGACTTCTAGATATTCGTGTCATGCATATCACTAAATAAGTTCCTGTGATGTCCAGTTTGTTCAGTTACGAAAGGGTCCAGATAAAGATAAAAGCGGCCGGGTAACGCCGATCGTCTACTCGTTCACGCTCGTAGACTTGTGGAACCACCAA